GGTTGCATATTTCAGTCGTGCATTGACCAAACGAGAACGTTCATATCCAACTTATGACAGAGAAGTGATGGCTATGCGAGACACGCTTAAGCATTTTCGGTATTATCTGTTAGGAGCACAAGTAGTGATGAGGATCGACCACAAACCTCTTCTAAAGATCCTGGAACAGAAAGATCCATTTGGACGAAGAGCGACATTGATGAGAGATATAGCAGAATTCGAACCACGCATAGAGTTTATTCGAGGGCAGGATAATCACATGGCAGATGCTCTTAGTCGGATCGGATGGAATGTCAAGTGGGAAGAGAGAGATGAGGATACTAGTAAAGTGGCTACTATTGGTGGCTCTCAAGACGAGATTGGTCCATGCAAGGATGTAAGGTTGGACATAAATGATTTCCAATTGCAGCAAGAACGTGATTCAACCCTTAAGCCACATATTTCCACTCACCGAAACGAACATGGTTTATTCACACGAGATCATAAGAAGCAAGTGTTACTTCCAGCATCGCTTGTTCCCACCATATTATCATTAGCTCATGACGAAACAGGGCACCAAGCTAGGAGCAGATAAAATGCTTGCAAGAATTGAACCTCATTATTGGTGGCCAAAGATGAAAGCAGAAGTAGAGAACTATGCAAAAACGTGCCAACGCTGTGCTGCTACTCTTGCCCAGGGACATAGAAAAGCACCCATTCATCAACGACCAAAAGAAGAGAAACCATTTGCGTTGATAGAAGTAGATCTCAAGGGTCCATTACCAAGAACGAAAGAGGGATTTGACAATATTGTTGTGATAACAGATCCATGTACAAAATATGCAGAGATGCATCCAATTCGAGGACAAACCAGCCAAGTTGTTTGTAAGACACTCATGGGTTGGATATCAAGATATGGTTTACCAAACAAAGTGCACTCTGACAATGGACCTTGTTTCATAAGCGAAACATTTGAACAGTTTTGCATAACCCAAAGCATTGAGCATACTTTCAGTCCACCCTATTGGCCACAAGGAAACGCGGGTGTAGAACGGATTAATCGTACGATGGGGGAAGCACTCACAAAATTGGTAGATAAACATCCCAACCGATGGTCTCAACACCTACCTGACGTACAACTAGCGTACAACACAGCAGTTCATACAAGTACAGGAGTTTCGCCGTACGAACTAGTTTTCAAGGAGCACCCGCGATCAAAATTCGAAATTATAACAGAGAAGATATCACCAGCAACGGTTAGAGAGAAAACGGAACGACTGCGCGAGACTGTTAGTGAGGTATTCCAAAAAGCACAAGAGTCCGATGCCAAGTTAGCGGAAAAACGCAGAGAACGGTACAACAGTAAAACTTCGTTTAAATCGTTGGGGGTGGGTCAACAAGTTTGGAAAAGAAATTTACGAGCAAAAACATTTGCAGATCGGTGGACGGGACCCTATGTCGTGGTAAAGCCGACGTCGGTAACCAAAACATCTTATGTAGTGAGAAGGAATAATGGAACTAAAGAAGAAATTGTCCATTACAATTACCTTAAACCTTATCAGATTCGACCTGTCAAGAAACCAAAGTCAAGGAATCCACAAAAGAAGAATGAGGTCGGACACCCAGCACTGGGTACCAGTGAGGACAGTGAATCTGACAGCAGAGAAGAGGAAATGCAACCAGAGAGAAGATATCCAGAAAGAATTCGAAGACCTCCAGAAAAATACACATAATACTTTTAAATGGGGAAGTGGTGTGATATATTGACATTTATAGTTACATTGAAATAGATACTCGTAAATAGCAAGCCTGTTTGCAGGCTATTAGGCATGGACCTTCGGGCTTAATAATTAACTTGAAGACTAAGACTATTATTGTACATGTGTTCGGAGTAATACAATATATAAATTTACACCGACAGTCAATGAGATTGTGTATTCGACAATATGAAAATGCTTTTTCAACAGGTTCTAGGCATCCAGCATTAACACAGCGCAGGGCCCGTAGCATTTTTTTCGCGCGGGGCCACTTGGCTTTTTCTGCCTGCTCCATAACATTAAAAAATTAATCCGTTTTAAATATTTTTGATAGCCTTTTTTTTTAAAGATGTAATTACAGTAACGTATTTGATATTATATCATATTAATGATATATGGCGGGCGGTCATGTAAAAAATCGCTGCGACTATTTGAGTTACTTTTATCTAGTTCTTCTCATTATAATCAATGAGCATTCTGAATTTAATGTCAATGGTCATTTACGTTTATTAGTGAAGACCGTTAGCGTCATTTTTAGTGCTGCTGAGGAAAATATATTTGATCGTAGCTCGGATTTGTGTGTAGCACATGCCGGCGTTCTATCTGTTCACCAGGAGTTGCTTCGAGTGTCATCTAACGATAAAGTTTTTACAGAGAAGAGTTGCGTATTATTCGAACTCGACTGCAACATTTAATCCATTGAAGAAGTCTATATTATTGAGCATGGATATCCATCCTAATCCTGGCCCTAATATAACTACAACGGTTCAACCTGATTTTGCAAGCGTCTCTCGTGTTCGATCATCTGGAACGTCCTTGCATAACAACAAGCTTCAGTGTAGTCTTGTTAATTGTCGTTCTATATGCAACAAGATTGATGAGTTTCACGGTCTGGTTTATGGCAATAACTTGGATATTATTGGCGTAACTGAGACATGGCTACGAGCAGATTATTATAACGAGGAAATATTGCCCTCCGATAACTATACAATCTATAGGAAGGATAGAGCTAATTACCGCAGAGGGGGTGGTGTTTTACTGGCCGTTAAAGCTGATATTCTCTCGTATAGGAGAATTGATCTTGAACCGACGGATTCAGAGATTCTTGTGTGTGAACTTTATCCTTTGAATCGAAGGAAATTTACAGTGTGTATCTGTTATCGTCCTCCTGATTGCAATTTGTTTTTCGACCATTTTGATATTCTATTAAACAACTTACGAGAAGCTTCGAACAGAATTTGCATAATCGGTGACTTTAATATGCCACATATAAATTGGAACACTGTCGTCAACATCACAAATTCTGCCAATGGGAATAGATTTTGTGACCTTATACAACTAAATTTTCTTACCCAAGTAGTTTGCGAACCAACTAGAAAGAGTAATGGCAGTCAGTCGACTTTAGACCTGGTTTTCAGTAATCATCCCGATGACATTTGCAACGTTAAAGTAGAGGCAAATCTTGTGACTTCTGATCATTCAGTAGTTAGCTTTGATATACTTACAAAAGTTCAACGCGTAAAAAAAATTAGTCGTAATGTTTACAATTTTAAAAAGGCGGATTTAGAAGGTCTTAAATTAGCATTACAATGTATCCCATGGGAAACCGCAATGTTTGAAGACGATATTGAAAGTAGTCTTGTCTGCTGGCAGGACCTAGTCCTTACATGCATTGATGAATATGTTCCCAAAATCATAATAAGAGATTCGAATAGACCTCCATGGATAGATGCTGAAGTAATGCATTTGATCAGGAAGAAGAATAGAGTCAGGCGCAAGGCTAAGTTGATTGATTCTCCATATCAGTGGGAAAAATTTAGAAATATTAGGCATCATGTTAAGAAGCTAATTAAATTTAACAAACGCAATTATTTAGATGAATTAGGTCATTCTTTAAAAACCAATCCAAAAAAATTCTGGTCTTATTACAAAACAATTACCAAATCTAACAGAATTCCTGGAAAAGTGTCATATGGATTAGTTCAGGCATCTAAGTTAAAAGATCAAGCTAATTTATTTAATGCCTTTTTTCACTCAGTGTTCAATCCTTCTGACTCTACCAATTTAATACAATTACCTGAGCTTAGTTATAATGTTGAACATGAATTATCCGAACTTGTGATTGATAGCAATGCTGTTTGTAGAGAGCTTAAATTACTCGATATTAACAAGGCATCATTAGGATTGCCTTCTAAAGTATTGCGTGAATGTGCTGACGAATTATCGCCCTCTCTATGCAAATTATTTAATATGTCATTGAGAAATGCCACTTTTCCCAATAAGTGGAAGGAAACTGACTTGGTTCCAATTCATAAATCTGAATCTAGGTCAGTGGTACCCAATTACAGAGGAATATCTCTTCTTGATATATTGTCTAAGTTGTTGGAGAGGCAAGTGTATAATGGGATGTTTGGTGTTATAGAACATTATCTATCCAAGTGGCAGTATGGGTTTCTTCCGGGAAGGTCTACTGTTTGTCAGTTAATAGAGGTAGTACATCAATTTGGTGAAGCACTTGAGAATAAACGCCAAATTGATGTTATATATCTAGATTTTATATATCTTTATCAAAAGCCTTTGATAAAGTTCCACATGTCAAACTCTTGCACAAACTTGAATCATTAGGTATTAGGGGATCTTTACTATCTTGGTTTAGATCTTACTTGACAGGAAGAAAACATAGAGTAGTAATTAATGGTGAGCAATCTGAATATTTACCAGTGACCTCGGGGGTGCCACAGGGATCAATTTTGGGGCCTTTGTTGTTCCTTATTTATATTAACGATATGCCTAATTGCATATCGGAGAAAACAAGCCTCCCACTTTTTGCCGATAATTCAAAGTGTTTCCGTTTGATTTTGGGACAGGAAGATGGTATTAGATTGCAGGATGATTTGAATAATGTGTTAGATTGGGCTCATACCTGGGGAATGGAATTTAATTATGCTAAGTGTAAGGTTTTAAGAATTGCGCGTATTAAGAAACCATATAATATAGATTATTTTCTTGGCGGTAAGAAATTGGAACGAGTTCTTGTCGAAAAAGATCTCGGTGTTCTAGTAACATATAATCTAAGCTGGAATAGCCATGCCGTTGATTGTATTACTTCCAAGGCTCATAAAATATTAAATCTTTTATACCGTACCTGTAAGGATATAAGTGATATTAGCGTAAAAAGAGAATTGTTTATAACTTGGGTTAGATCACGTTTGGAGTATGCCAGTCCTGTTTGGTCTCCTCATACCAAGAGAAATATTATATCAATTGACCATTTGCGTAATAGACTAAATTTTGATCTCAACAAAAATTTCATTACAGCTTGAAAGAGCATCACAAAATTAGTAATATTCCAAAGTTTCGTTACAAAATGTTGTAAAATGCGGAAAATATAGCCTTGCGAAATTTGCAATTTTCAGTAATTTTAGATTACAAACCGGAAATTGACAGCCTCGAAGGGTTTGGGGCTGTCAATTTCCCGTTTGTAATCTAAAATGACTGAAAATTGCAAATTTCGCAAGGCTATATTTTCCGCATTTTACAACATTTTTCAACGAAACTTTGGAATATTACTAATTTTGTGATGCTCCTTCAAGCTCTGATTAAATTTTTGTCTAAACATGTTTAGTTCAAAATTTAGTCTATTACGCAAATGGTCAATTGAACAGGTTCAAAGAAAAGCCACCAGGTTTATTGTAGGCAGAGATTTTAATTGCAATGACCGCCTTGTTAAATTGAATTTTATTCCTCTTGTGTATCGGAGAGAAATTAGTGATCTTGTATTTTTCTATAAGTGTTTTAAGGGTATGTATAATACCGATATCTTTCAGTACATATCCTTTCGTTCTTGCACTAGGCCACTCAGAGGCATTGACTATTTAACTTTAAATGTCCCATTTAGCAGAACAGAGGCATTTAAAAATAGTTATTTAGTCCGAATATGTCGACTGTGGAATGATTTACCACTTGGAATAAGAGAGTCAGATAGGCTCTCCGTATTTCGACGTAGTTTAATCTCGACATATTATGATAAATTTAAAGCATTGCATGTGTGATGTAACTTAGTTTTTCAGTATTTCCATAGACTTGTAATATTATATATGCATAGTTTCTTAATTCATTTAGTATTTAACTAATATCGACTATTGGCGGTTTAAGTATTATGGAATCTTGAATTCTGTTTTAAACCGACCGCAAATGACATTCATAATTGGTAAATATTATAATGTTCATTTCAAATTTGATTAAATTAAATTTACTATTGGTCTGTACTGTCACTCTTCTTTCGCTGTAGGGGTTAGCGTAGTCAAATAAAGTTTTACCTACCTATACCTACCTATACCTTTAAATAAAATTTGAGAATAATAGTACAGTGAATGATCCAGTGGAATGATCACACATAAAAAAGAATTCGCACAAAGCAATTCAAAGCTCCAGTTTTAGTTTAATGCGTTTACCACTCTGAAGTGGACCTGCAGTGGACCTGCAGTGGACGGAGGGCGTGGGATGCTTCACCCTGAAAGTGTCACCCCCAAATACGCCAAAGCTCCGCTGCCTAGTAAATCAACCAGACAGCCAATGGCGTATAGTGTATAGTGTATAGTGTATAGTGTATAGTGTATAGTGTATAGTGTATAGTGTATAGTGTATAGTGTATAGTGTATAGTGTATAGTGATGGCGTGCGCGGCTGCTACATTATCGTTCTTTTCATATTTTTAAATATTTTTTCCAGCCTAAAGCGCGGGGCCCCTTGAATGCGCGGGGTCCCGCGCGACATATGCCCGCTTCTGCCACTTCTGCCAGCATGGTGCTTTATTTGTCAACCTTAGGAATAAATATAACTTAATAGTTTGACAGTGAGTGACGCATCTAGAACTACAGAAATGCATTGTTGTCTAAACATTTTCGCCATATTAAACAGTTTTATTAAAAGTTAGAATATTTTAGTCAAATATATAACATGCCTAGCTGTTGGGTTGCCTATGATCAAACTTAGATTTTTACGCAAACCCTAAACTTAGCCGTTATTACGGAGTTTAAAGCTACGTTTACACGCTGCGATTAATCATGTACGATTCGTATTCTGGCGTATTCAAATGTGTGCTGGCGCCATAATTCATTGCCGTTTCGTTAAAAAGAAATTTCAAATGTAGCCAGCTTATGCGTGTTCACTCATGACATACGCCAGAAAACGAACCGTATACAAAATTAATCGCAGCGTGTGAACGTAGCTTAAGATGCACCAAATCTGCGACGCGGACGCGACTAAAAAACAGTCTTAATAGTTGGAGACTGGTTTTACTTTGTTTTTCTCGTGTCCCTGGCTTTGTTTACCAACAACAATCCATAGTTTTTACCCGTGAAGTGAAACTGTGATAATAGCGGCAGTTTTTCGTCACGTCCACGTCGTCAAGATTTGGTATATCGATCTTAAGCTCCCTATTATTAGGCATTACGACACTGGCGAACTTGCGCTTTAATCGCAATTAGTTTTTATCTTGCTTCAGGCCTGGTTACAAGACAAGAAATAACACTGACTGTCAGGCTTTAGACAATATTATTCTTCCATTTGCATTAGTGTGTATAGATCGAACATGACATTATAACCATAAGATGCCTTGGAGGTTTTTCGTTAACACAGGATTAAGTATAGGTTATTTTGAGGCAACGAGGGGATATGTGATTTATTCACAGAGGCGCGCAGCGCCGAGGTGAATAAACACACATCCCCGAGGTGCCTCAAAATAACGTACTTATTTTTCACATTGCGAGGTCGCGTTCGAGGCGCGTTAATGAGTCAGAATAGAAATAATTCTTAATTCCAATATTGCCTTCGTTATGTTTTTTTTCTCATTTTTTGTGCTGCAAAGACATTGCAGGTGAATATTAGAGGGGATTATTAAACGGAAATTGATTAGAGGGGAATATTGAATATATCCCCCGATAAACAAAGGAAACCGAGCAGGGTGAAAAATAAGGTATATTAATCGGCTTTAGAGTAACCGGTCCCTGATATATTAACCTCAGTTTTTCATTTGATCTTACTTTTCTCAGGCAACAACAACGTACAAAGATAAAGTGACTTCACTCGACAATAGTACAGTACAAGCGGGTGATATCAAGGGTACCATGAAAAACTTGACCGAGTTTATGGAAAACAGAATATATGATCCCTGGAGTGTGACTGATAAAAATACAAACGTTCGAGTGATTACAAAGAGTACGAAAAAGGTCTGGGCGAAAGTTCAGAAGGCTGAGCGGATGAACGTGTTGGGAATGATCACCTGTTCAATAGCATTTGGCATCGCGTTAAGTAGACTGGGACCTGAAGGTCGTGCGTTGAAAGAGTTGTTTGAAATCTGCATGAAGATTGTAATGTCGTTGATTGGCGGGATTATGTGGTGAGATTAAAGTTTCTCATTTATTTGTTTGGCTGTTGATCTTGCTGCACTGTCTTAAAATCTTTGACTGGGTATAACACTACAGCGCAAGCAGGGCAGCCCAGAGAAATTCGGGGGCCCGGGGCAAATTTTTCATTTGGGGCCTAATTTTTCCACGGGATGGAATGTTTTTGGAACCCTAAACAGTAAAAAAGGGTTCAAATTTTTTTTCAAACCCCAACTAGTAAAAAGTGGTCCAAAAATATTATTCAAACCCTAACTCTTTTCATTTTAGAATATTCCCGAAAATTTTACACTTCCCACAATTTTCTGCAAATTCTTACTTTTTTCTGTGTGTGTGTGTGTGTGTGTGTGTGTGTGTGTGTGTGTGTGTGTGTGTGTGTGTGGGCTTTAACTAGGGACCCAGACAAACACACACCCCAGGGAAGCCTGTTCTGACAAATGCGCCCCCCCCCCACGCCTCCTTTGAATGAAAACACGTTAGATTTACTTCTATTTCTTAAGCGTTCCGCTTTGAGTGGGATAGATAGATAGATAGATAGATAGATAGATACTTTATTGCGTGTTCCCCTAAGGGCTTTTCAACACTACATTACATATTAAAATTACTATAAATTACTTCTAAAACTACCTATGTTACATATACTTATTTAAAATTAGTTAAAATATGTACAAAGAGTATGAAATATTAAATGTATTTAATAGGATTCTTTTAGTAAAATCATCGGATAGTGGCGATGAAGACAACTAAAAATAATTAGGTCAAAAGATGCTTCTTTGCTTCCAATAAAGTTTAAATAAAACTCCATGAATACATATTTTCGGTAGGATATGTGCATGCGAGTATCATCCCAGAGAGAATTGCGAGAACATTCAAGAAACTGTAATTGCGAGAACATTCAAGAAACTTTTATTGTTGCGTTGCTCCTTATTTATATGAATGTCTTGCACCATAATCGATAATTGACCACACGATCTCAGCTAATGTGAAAGCAAGGTTGATATGAAAACTGCGTCACCAAAGATCGAGAAATTAATAGTAGGAAGGAACGGAATCCACTGTGCCCTTGTAAAGTGCGGTAACGAGGTTTTTGATTTCTCTTCTGATATATACACTTTTGTTACACGTATTTCAGGATATCTCCCCTTGGCATATGTAGTTTGATAGCTGGCAAACTTGTTGAGATGGAAGACATTGCCAAGACATTTGAATCTCTTGCATACCTAATCGTGACTACTATAACTGGAATCGCTATACAAGCTTTGATCGTCTATCCAACGATATATTTCATTTGTGTGAGGAAAAATCCATTCAGATACATGTTTAATATGCAGGCAGCAATGTTCACAGCTTTTGGAACGGATTCCAGGTAACATATAGCCCACGTCACTTGTGAGAGAAAATAGTCTGGGTACGAGCTTGCCTGTGTCATAGACTCTAGGTAATATATGGCAAGTGATTGTGCTTTTCACACTTTAAAGTGCTTAACTACTCATAGGAAGATGAGTGAATGTTGTTTACTTTTAGTGTCACATGGTGCTATATTTGAAACTTCTGTTTAAAACTGAGAGTCGACAGTGGCGGAATACACTGAGTGACAGTTTTTGCTCAGTTAAACCAGATTTACTTTCTTATAGGTTCAAGAAACTAGAAACGCGCGGTTTAATTCAATTGCAGAAATTTTTTGTACACCAAAAAGATACTGTATTATGAGATACAGCTGTATATAATGCAAAATGGCGTAAAGTATATTGAATCGCCTGTACGCGCAATCATGAACCATTTCCAAATTTTAACTTAATTTTTTTAGCGCTGCAACTCTACCTGCTACAATAAAGTGTGTCAAAGACATCAACAAAGTTGATCCAAGAGTAGCTCATTTTGTTTTGCCAATTGGAGCAACTGTCAATATGGATGGAACAGCGCTATATGAGGCGGTTGCATGCATTTATATAGCGCAACTGAATGGTTACAGCTTTGGCATTGGAAAAATCTTGATAACAGTGTAAGTAAACTATTATTATAAAATAAAGAAATCCCTACATGATTATGGTGGGAACGCGAAACTTCTTTCTATTTCGCAAAATGCAAATTTTTCGTCTTCAACCGCATCGCGGAGGCTTCATTTTGCTAATTCCTTACTTGCGTAGAACGCAGTAACATAATTAAGATTTCCAGGTTGAGTTGATATGACAAATTCACGGTTGGATCGGTTAGCCATTCAGAAACCATGAATATTTTAAATAAATAATAAATATCTGTCACCACTCTTCAATAGCATACAATCCCAGCAAATGGAAACTATGCAATTATTATTAGGACTGAGTATTAGCAATATCATTTTTCTTCTATAGCTTTTGCTCAGTTGCTGCTTCAGTTGGAGCGGCTGCAATCCCTTCTGCCGGTTTAGTGACATTGCTTATGGTGTTGGAAGCTGCTGGCTTGCCCACAAACGATGTTGGATTGCTCTATTCAATCGACTGGTTTTTGTAAGTACAAATTGAAAATATATTGTACGTAAAATTTGTACGTGATTTTTCCCACGACAAATTGATACGTAACTCATGCCCCATGCCCTATCCAGGCAATTATGCTTCTCCTGATTCTTTTTTATCCCACCGATTCACCAACCCGTTTCTGTCGCACCAGAATTATTATTACCGAGAACCTTGGAGAAATTTACCCGCATTGAATCCTTTAATGGAAATTCCAACCCCTATATGGTCACAATATCCAAATCCCTATCCTCCAGCCATACAACTCCCAATGAGTTACCCAAATCAGTACCCTTCACCCCTGATGATGAATTACACCAGACCGCCCAGGCGTTGACAGGTGATTACGATTCATCCAAGTCTGTTTGTCCCTTCCTTAACAATGTTACCCATAAAACTACTCAACTAAATAAGATACCCGTCAGAATTACTCCACGCACAAGACAGCACAGTCATATAAAATCTCTTAGGCATTGCAGCACTTTGAGACGTATACAAGTTTAACTTAATAAAACTGCTCGGAGTCAACCACGCTTAATTCCATGTTGCTCAGTGTTGAACGCCAGATCTATTGCTAAACCTGATGCTTTTCCTGCTTTGTGCGCAGCCATTAAGTGCAATAACATAGATGTTTGTTGTATAACCGAAACATGGCTCAAACCGACTATACCTAGCTCCCTCCTTTGTCCTCCCAATTTTTCCGTCATTAGAAAGGATAGAACTAACTGTCGAGGAGGTGGTGTCGCGATCTTATGCAGGAATGATTCGAGAATGCAGTTACTACCTGATTTGGACAATCCATTCGAATGTTTATGGACAAAAATTATTACACAAAACTCTGAATTCTTTGTTGCAACTATTTACCACCCACCTGACTATGAGTATAATGAGCAAGACCTTATCGAATTCCTTATTGACTCGTACGAACAACTATTGTTATCTAAACCGAATTCAAATATAATAATTGCTGGTGACATTAACAATTTAAATATTCGATCTGTTCTTAATCAACTTCCATTTACCCAACTCGTTAAGACCCCTACGAGAGGACTAAAAATATTTGATGTCTTTATTACAAATGTCCCAAACTATTGGAAATCTGTTAAAGTTGTAAAAAGCTTGGTGAGATCCGACCATGATATGGTTATCACATACCCCCGAAACATAGTTAAAGCAATAAGGACAAATTCCTATTTCAGAGATGTGAGACAACATCATCAATTGAATATGCTTCGTGAACTTGAATCTATTGAATGGAACACGATAATTATGAATAGTCATAACCTAGATGAGATAACCCTAAAATTTTATGAAATAATATGGCCAAAATTCGATAAGAGTTTCCCATTAATTAAGGTCAGAACGTCATCACGCAACCCTCCGTTCATGTCTCCTCTTGTGAACCACCTTCTGAATCAAAGGAAAAGAGCCATACAAAACGGAAATACTGAAGCAAATACACGATTGCAAGAAAAAATCAACAAGTTAATTAGGGAAAATCAATTAAGTGCAGTCAAACAGGAGTTTGGCAACCAGAAAACTGGATCAAAAAGTTGGTGGTCTAACGTAAATAGCATTACCTCGAGAAAAAAGAAACAAGATGTATCTGTAAGTGCTTTTCTTAACCCTCGTGAAATTAACAAATATTTTCAAAGTGTGAATACGGACCCAAATTATACGACTCCCGAGCCTCTTCAAATCTCCGAAGGAACAAGAATCCCTTCGTTGTCAATTCATGAAGTTCAACATCTTTTACTGAATCAAAAAACGCTCTTCATCGGTCCGGACAATCTGCCATATTGGTTTTGGAAATCGTTTGCTATTGAATTAGCTTCTATTGTCACAGAAATTTTTAACATGTCACTAAAAACCAGCAAAGTACCTCAGAAATGGAAATCCGCTGATTTATTACCACTCCCTAAAGAATCACCATTAAATTCGTGCAACCAGTTAAGACCAATCTCTCTGACGGACATCATCATGAGAATATTCGAGAAGTGCGTGTATAAATCTGAAATCGCACCTATCACAAGAAATAACATTGGTCCTGACCAATTTGCTTATAAAAGGGTCACAACTCGACTATGGCCCTGATTAAATCCCAACATCAATGGCTAGAGTGGCTGGATAAAAACGCTAATTATGTTAGAGTGCTGTCCTTCGATTTCAGCAAAGCATTTGACAGTGTACCCCACGATCTTTTGTTTGAAAAAGTTAAAAAGCTACCCATTAATCCGTATGTGGTGAACTGGATAATTAGCTTTCTAGAAAATAGAATACAAAGAGTAAAGGTTGATGGACTTGTTACAGAATATTTATATATTAAAATCGATGATATTAAAACTGCTGATCCTAGTAATGCGTTAGTCAAATTTGCTGACGATTTGACGTTAGGAGTGCCTGGCAACGAAAGTGGTGACACATCTCGATCTGAAGCTGCCTGTTTACAGGATTGGGCGGAAGAGAATAGAATGCCCTTACTTAAACTTGGAAAAAACGTACGAAATGGTTGTTCGCAGACACACCTCTGTAGTTTTGCCTGAGCTTATCCCTTCAATTAAGCGAAAAACATGGCTAAAGCTTTTAGGAGTTACTCTACAAGATAATCTGGGATTACTGGGATTTGCACTTCGAAATAATGCTCAAAAAAGCAAGTGGAAGAATGTACATTATGAGAGTTTGCAAATACTATGGACTATCAATTAAACGATTAGATCTGCTGTTTGATAGCCTAATTATGTCGATATCCACTCTTGCTATTGAGCTGTGGGGTTGTGCATATGACGGTAAATATTTGAACCAAATAGATAAATTCATTAAACGTGTATATAAGAATGGTTATATATCAAAACGAACACACATTAAAGAAATACGTGATAAGAGAGATAAGAAACTGTGGAATAAAATAACATCAACTGAGGACAATGCATTGCTTGAACTGCTGCCGGAAAAAAGAAGTAGGTTACTTAGGCCTAGAGGGCATGAGTATGAACTCCCCCTAGTGAGAACAGAAAGATTCAAAAGGTCGTTCATAAATCGTTGTCTGTATAACTTTGTTTAGACTTTAATGTATTTAAAACTTTTTAAAACTGTTTACGCTTCTTAACTTAAATTGTAAATATAACTATCTAGATCAATTATCTTTCGATTGTAAACTCAGACGGATGTATCTGAGTATTTTAATAAAGACTATTATTATTATTATTATTATTAAAATTCCCAAAGTATATATGCTGTCCCGAACGTTGTACTTATGACTGCATATAGTTGCATTCCCAAGTTTAGATATTCTTATATCCAACAATGAGTGATTTGATTGATTGACATCTTTATTTAAAACACGAGATCCATTTCACAAGTTAAAATATGTGCTTTTCAATGAAGACGTGTACCTTATATATGCTATATAGTAAACTAATTTCTAAAAAAATAAATATCAAAATATTTACAAGAGTTTCAGACTACATATATGCAAAGAATTTTCAAACTAATATTATACAATTATTAAGAAATTTTATATTTAAACTCAGCGAGAGATTGAGCTCTAGCGAGTTCGACGGGTATGTCGTTCCATAGAGTATAGGCCCTCTATAAGTAAAGCTTTTCTTTAAGGATTCAGTTAAGGGTCTTGCAACAAAAAGTTTATGATTAGAGCCTCGCAAAGTGTTCGTGTATCATAGAAGTTGGAGTAAATTTTCTTGACAAGTAACTATAGGAACCATGTAATATTCATTCATTGGTATGAAATAGTGTGTCTGGTTTCAAGGTTGGTCCAATTCAATAATGTTAAGATATCTGAGGTCCGAATGTTGTAATCAGATCCAGTAATAATTCTTGCAGCCCTATTCTGTAAACGCTGTAGCTTTTGTCTAAGACTCTTGCCTAAGCTATCCCAAATAATGCTACAATAATCAAAGTGTGGCTGTGTATTGAAGAGTTGTAAATCAAGACAAGAGTCGACTGTGGAAGTAATGGTTTTAGTCTTCGTAAAACTCCAATCACCTTGCAGACTTTGGAGATTATAGAAAACACATGATACTCCCATGTCAAACTCTCGTCCAAGGTGGCTCGATACAGTTTTCGAAAATTCAGGTGTTTAACACTTTGACATGTTCAAACTACGTATTTTTAGGATTTATTCAACAGATATTGTTTTTTTTATATATTTTGATAACTTTACTTTCAAATTATATTAGTTTTAGTAACAGATAGTTCGTTGCTATGACGACATACGTGTACGAAATTCACTCCAAAATGGCCTATCGTCTCGTATAGTTGGAAAAAAAGCATGGTGACCCCCAATTTTTTTCGTGCATTATTTTACTTGGACGAAAAGCTAACAATTAGCAAAATATAAAAAAATTCTGTAATGCCATTTTTTTGGAAAATGCGAAAATGTCATATTCTTCAATAACATTTTTTTGGCATTACAGAATTTTTTTATTTTTTGTTTAATGAAAGTTTTTAGCGGTGCAATAGAGCATGCAAAATTTGAATATAGGTCACCAGACAAAATAAAGAGATATAGCGCATTGTTTTTCTAAAATGGAAAATTCTAATGACGTCAGCAATTGTTATAAAACGCTATAGAACACACGCAATGGCGTGATATGGCGCAAGCAACTGCTCACGTCAGGTCATTTTGGAAGTTCTTTCATTTTGTTAATCAGTTTCCGCGACCCGCGCGTAAAAATGGTTACCTGGTTTTGAGTTCGCGATTCTTGAGCAGGGTTTTTGTGATAACTATATCGAGCACCTTAAGCCAGTTTTGGAGAGTTTTAAGATCATCATTTAGAACAGAGATTAACTTGTCTGGGTCGCTGTCCGCAAATGTCAAATTGGTATCATCAGCGAATAA